ACCTAAGTTGCAAACGTATGGATCATAGGTGGACGCAGACCTGTCCAAAAGTTTACGCCTACCATTGCAGGAGGCCAGCCAGCTGTGACTTCTGCTGCTGTTTCTACAAACATGAAATATGTGATTAAAGATCTAAAGGCTACTATGGAGAGAGATATTAAAAGCCAAGATTGAAGAGGCAGTCTGAAGTCTTCAGGTTACAACTGACTTCTTCACAGAAACTATCCTAGATGTAACTAGGATATGCTCTGGATCAAATGGCTTTATCTACAGCAGCTAAGAAAGCTTATGGTTCTGTTTCTGGGATGATGACTCATCCCCCAAGTCTGCCCTCTAAACCATTCTATTTGAAGGGGTGGTGCTGTTTGGGAAAACTTTGGATAATTCCATTGAAAAGGCGAATGAGGGCTGCAAGATATTGGTACCTTAGGATGGAAGTTCCAAGGATCCCAGCTCCTCATAGTCTGACCGGAGAACCTCCAGTGACCAGTATTTCTGAGATACATGGATCTACTGGCCCTGCAGGGAATACTCCAGAGGTAACTCATTGCAGTTGGTAAACCTGCCTTTCAAGGTTCTATTGGAGCTATAATGCAGTCGTTTTGCTCTTCAGCAATGAACATATCTCCTCCAGTACTAGGAGCCTCATTTTTCTGATCACACATACCTGGGCTCGTCATACTCTGGAGGCTTGAGTGGTATCCATGGTCCAGATTGATATAGACTGGAGTTTTTTTCTTAACGGGCACAGGAGTCTCCATACCAACAGGAGTATTAAGACCAATGAATCAAAAGGTAAAGCACTGAAGGAAGAAGCCTTCTGGACGAAGAGGTGATTTTTTTTTTTTTCCCAGAACAAGAGCAGATTGTCTGATACCCTACATAGATCTGATGGCCATTTCTTGGAACTACCAGGTCCAGAAGTATTTTTTTTACATGCTAGGACCAGAATGCTTAGGTTCAGGATACACTGGCTCAAATTTAGAATTTTAGTCTGATGTACATATTTTCCTGTTTTCGACCTTCTTAAAAAGGCAATGCAAAAGGTGACAGTGGAAGACCGTGTCGACTCTAATTCTTATGATGAATAAGATTATTCTGGAACCTCCAAAGGAAATTCCTGTACGTCCAGACCTATTACAAGGCCCCATGACACACCAGGATCCTCAAGTTCTGGTGTTGATGCGGGAGTCCATATTAGTATAGGCATCCCTGAGACGGTCATTGAGATCCTCTTACAATCCTATACAGGCTTTTGTCTGTTGGAATTACTCCTCGTTCAGGCCTTGAAAGGTTCTGTGTTATAACACTCTAGAGGAACACTTAGCTGCACTTTGCTTCATATAGGCATTGATTGAAATCATGCCCCAACTGAGTGTGGTGAAGCCAATATGTGATGTACCAATGGTCACACGGGTTCTGACTGAACCATTATTCGAACCTCTAGTAGGAGCTTCCATTGTGGTAGCACAGAAAGTGCTGGTGGCTGGTGCCCCAGCAAGAAAAATGGGTGAACTCCAGGCTTGATCCCGTGAACCCCCTTTCACTACTTTTCAATGGATATGGTCGTCTTGCATTTGGCACCTGAAGATCCTGCCTATGGTGAATTCTTATCTATGTCATTCTCTACCTGTACTGAAGGGTACCGATTGAGCGTTGATGCCCCTGGTGCTTTGCTTCATGTAAGCAACAATTGAACTCAAGCCTCCGCTGAGGGTGTTGAAACCAATAGGTGACGTACCACTGGTCTCACAGACTCTGACTGAACTTCTAGCAGGAGCTTCCATGATGTTAGTCCAGATGTTGCTGGTGACTGGTACCTCAGCAGGGTGAATGTGTGCACTTGCTGCACTTTGCTTCATATAGGCATTGATTGAAATCATGCCTCCACTGAGTGTGGTGAAGCCAATATGTGACGTACCACTGGTCTCACGGGCCCTGACTGAACCATTATTCAAATCTCTAGAAGGAGCTTCCATGGTGGTAGCACAGAAAGTGCTGGTGGCTGGTACCCCAGCAAGGGAAATGGGTGAACTCCAGGCTTGATCCTGTGTACCCCCATTCACTGAATTTCAACAGGATATGGTTGTCTTGCATGTAGCACCAGTGATCGTGCCTAAAGTGAGAGCCTTTCAATGCCGTTCTCTACCTGTAGCAAAGGATTTGGGGCATTCTCCACTAGTGCTGTTACAGCATCTCGTGGGCTTCCATGGCAATGGTCTCTGCTGAAACTTTGTAAAGTTGGCATTTGAACTAGTTTGTCCTGCATTACATATTGAACATTGAAGCAATTAATGAGGCACAATTTGGATGTCACGTCCGTTCTCTACCTGTGCTGGAGGGTATCAGGGCACTCTCCTCTCATGCTGTTGCAGCATCATGGGTTGCCATGGCAATGGCTTCTGCTGACACTTTTTGTAAGCTAGCATTTGAACCTCTTTTAGACACGTTTGTCTGGCATTTCATACTGTTCGTTAAAACAGTCTATGATGCACAATTTGGTACTTAACTCAGTTCATTCTTCTATCTATGTTGAATTATTCTGATAATTTGATTGGCTATTCTGTCCCTCCCTTTGTAAGCTTGGGTATTCCCCATGTGTATATGCTGCCATGATTAGCCAGGAAAGTGGAAATTTTATTCATACTTACCGTAATTTTCTTTTCCTGGCTATTATTCATGGCAGCATATACTTCCCACCCATTAATGTCTCTATTTATGTACTGTAGAGCTGGTAAACTGACTGAGGACCTTAGGGATGGAACCTCCTTTTCAAACCTTGGTGGTTTTCCTGTCCTATCGGCTGTAGGGGAGGAGCTAACCCATGTGTATATGCCGCCATGAATAATAGCCAGGAAAAGAAAATTACGGTAAGTATGAATACATTTTCCACTATATTTAAACAGACTTTATTTAATATTAAAATCGTATATTTAAAATATGTATAGCAAACCATAATGGATAAAAATTCTTCCCGTACCTCACTTGACGCGTTTCACCCGGCAATGTTTCTTAATCTTTCCTACATCTATTGGACGTCAACTATAACAAAGCTCCATATATCCTAAGACGGGCATTGTACCGACCAGGTGACAAACAGCCGAGCTCTTAGTAGCTCAGTAAAATGTTAATCCTCTATACACTTTTCACAAAGCATGGTAAATATAAGTTACATATTGCACTATTCGTTTTTTATTTTAAGGTTATATAATTGATCAAGACCTGTATTAATTGACTTCAAAGAAGTATATGTAATTTATATACATTTTATTCTAACAGAAGCATATTGTATATTCACACTACACCTTTTTGGTGCAGTTTGTCACTTTTTGTGTTAGTCTGTTTTACTTTTGTATCTTTTCTCCTGCTCTGTAAATTCAACTTTAATCACACATAAGATGCCGCAGGCTCTAGAAGGCTATTAACAGATCAGGAGGGTTTGCTGGATGCCACTGGGAGAACCTAGGATATATTAGATACTGTTTATGTCAGGACAAAACATCATCAATCCTTGTAGATTGATGACTTGTAACCATGGAAACCATTTCTTATTCAGGAACAATGTGAGTTTGAAGGAGTGGTTGTTTATTTTTCTGACGAAGAGGTGAATTGTTTAAAAGAAGAAAAGGAGGAAGAGAAGGAGCTTTACAGGGATGTCATGATGGAGACCCTCTGCTCTCTTGGTAAGAATATCTCAGCCTCCTTGTAGGAAACATTTCACATTGGAGACCAGACATATCTTTAGGTAATTTCTTCAGAACTGTTTGTATTCGTTGTATTATATCTGTACAGGAATCTGAAATCTAATGACTGATCTCTCACTTTAAACACATAAAGAACAGATCAATGGGACAACTCCATCCGTACCTGTGTTTAAAGGAGGTGAAGGCAAGCAGAAGATTAAGGAGACAGAGAGTCCTGTAAACACAGGTAGGGGTCGGAAGGCTATGGCTTGTGGAGCACTGTGGGGATATTTATGGGATGATAATATTAAACAGTCGAGAATTGCCCACTATTTCAATTCTCTTAGATCTCAGAGATCGTTATCATGTAAGTGAAATGTATTCCATACAAATGAAATCACAATTTGTTATAAAAATAGATTTAATTTATTGTGACAAATAAAATAACAATAATATTAGGCAGCATGCATGATAATAATCAGTGAATATTTAGTATAACATAAGTATGCAATACATTGGAATGGCTATACACGTTCCAATGGCTAACAACATCACCTGTAACTTAATAAGATTTATGAGGGTACTTCACAGACAAAAGTAAAGCTTCACGCAGCGAAAAGCCATAAAACCTTGGCTAACAGTTAAATCAACTGAGTAACCCTTTCAATGCTGGCTAGATCCTCCTAGGCATATAATATCCTATTCTCATGTAATTTTCAATTAAAATAACAGTCAAACCAACTCATTAATCATTTCCTGGAACCATCCAATAAGAATAATCTACCAGATTTTTACAAAAGCCGAATTTTAATTTGCCTAAAAAGATATCTTATTTTAGAGCAAATCAATACACCTGGATAAAAATAGCGGTATGCTAACACGTAATACTATCACATTAATATATAATTATTCTTAATTCCACCTGCAGAATGTAATGTTTATAACTATATATTCTTTAGTTAACTAAGATTTCTAAATATTGAAACCTGACCGTGATTTATCCAGTCATATATCATGCTATTAGTAAATTTAAATTAATTAAATAAAACCAGCATAATTACCAGTTATGTAGATATTCTCATCAGATGAGTAGGTAGTCCCAGAAACTTGATTGGTTGTAGGGAGGTGCGTGAGTGATAGAGAAAAGTGGTGTTGGTTAGAAAGTATCAGTAAATTTTAAGTGTCAAGGAGTTTAAGAGTTGAGTGTTAGTCCCAGAGAGTGCCCTGAATCTCTCTCTCTGCATGTCCGAATCTGAATCCCCAAACTCCACCAACTAACTCTCTCTTTTCCCTTTGTCCTAACTTTTTTTTAAAGTGCCAGACTCTCTGTACATCATTAGTTGATAAAGCTAATAGGAAACTCTAGGTGGGTTCAATCTATGGATCGCAATTTAGGTATTTGATCCATAGAGGGCAGTCTCGCCTCACTAAACCTTCCTATCCAGGAAAGAGTTAACTTTTCCTGATGACGATTTTGACGTCATTTGGCTTATCTAAAATGACTACCATAACTTAAATTTGCTGTCCGTTCAAAGCATTTGTCTCAGTCTTTGTGGCAACTACTTTGATCGTAATTTGTAAAATTGACCGTTCTAAACTCAATTTCGCGCATTACTTACAATGGGACCTTGTAAAATTAATTACTTAGTCTTCTCTGTCACTTGTGTCTGTGTTTATATAATGCATTCCTTAGCTCAGGCTCAGTGGTTAGTGAAAGCAAGGAAATTATGTGTCTTTGTTATCCTGAAGATAGGAAAATGGAGTCCGCTCTGTTCTGAGTGACTCTGGCAATATATACTTTTCATTTCTTTCTTAGCACAAAATGTCTGCTGATATAACTATCCTGACAGCACAGTGTCTGTCTGTTTTGGTGTCTTTGTTTATATCATACCTGCAGACTTACTAAAGAGATGTCCATCGCATGCAGACCTGTACATACAATGATTTATTAACATACATTAATTGCCACAATTTTGCAAATCAAAATTTTAAAAGCAACACTTATTTAAAAAAAAAAAGAAAAAAAAAAAGAGATTTGGTTGAATTCCGTATGTGACAAGACCATCTTGTCCCTGAATTATTAAAGCTCTTTCCTCTGTTTTCCTGTTTATTTGGTCCACAGTGTTCGTCTGTGATTTTATTATTCTGTTCGAATACCGAACAAGCCAACGAACCACACGTGTGCTGCTCGTTAACCTCAGTCACCCTGTTAAAACCTCATTAACACTGGTAACCGCAACATTCCAAGCTGTCAGCTGGGTGGTCGCCGTTCATATGTACGAAATCGTGGTGGTGGCCATCTAGAGCTGCACACACACGCAGCTGTGTTTTGGTCGTAGAGTTCGTTGAACTAAAATCGGACACTTGACTGCCCCGTACCGCTGAACTTCCATCTCCGCCTGTGTTTGACTATATTCCTACAAAAGGACACTGTTCGGTGGAAGCTTACTCCCGAACGAGGGAAATAGAACCATCATAGGGACAGATATCTATGTTCGATATTTTGTACCCCCGAAAGAGACCGACCGCTCATCCCAATTCCATTGAACTATTCTGGGCAGGAGCCTCGCATGCGGTTTGTCAGACCTTAACCCCGGTGGCATTTCGGCTGTGTTCATGGGATCTGAGCGCCCAACATATCCAAAAAGTGCTCAGATCTATCCGGGGATATAGGACTTAAGGGGGTACCTGATCGTAATTGTTTGTATTTTGGGGTGTCACAATTGTACATGCTCTGTACCTGAGATAATCTAATTTAGATGTGTTTTCAAGCAGTTCTCTCTGAGGTACAGAGAAAACCATGAAGGGGATTACCCTGTAATGTTGATTTGGAAACCCCTTGCAGGGGCTTTTACATAAAAGGCCTTGTGTGGCCTCCAATAAACAAGTTCACCCGCAGCATTCAATCTCGATGAACATCTGTGGGGGGGGAAGCTATAACTGCTAGTGAGGTCCAGCACGCAGAACTATGTAACATCTACATGGACAGAAAATGATAGAACGTAAACCGGTCCTTAGAATGGCCGGACTAACACGTTAAAGACAGACAACGGTCAAGGAAGCCAGAAATATACAATACCGTTTAACAAGTAAAGTCAGGGAAACCTAAAATCAGAATAGTCAAGGTCAAAATACCGGGAATATCAAAACAGGACAAGAAAACGAACTCTCAGGAACCAGGAACGAAAACCACGACAAGGCAATGAACTGGGAAAAATCAGGGTTTTAAATATCCCTCCTTTGCCTGTGATTGGTCAGATGATAACCTCTGACCCCAGAACAAGCGTGTGCGTCGACGTCACACGCACATTCGTGTGACCCTGGGGGGCGCAGCTACCTGTGGCTGCGACCCTATGGTTGGGCCATCTTTATTTTGGGCAGACGGCCAGGAGAACCAATCAGCGCGGCTTGTGGTGCCTGGTGCAGTGCTTATAGTACTTGGTGATACTAGGAAGCAGTGATTGGCGCAGGTACCCAGTTGGGGTGCCAGGTGGTTCACCACACCGTATATTAAGTCCATGAAATTGGGCCACAGTGCAAAAACCAGTGCAGAAGGTCAGGGCCAGCCTTGGGCCTTTATGCGCCCTGTGCGAAAAATCTTCACAACGACTTCCCCCTCCCCCCCCCGCCAGTCATCCATGTATGATGTAATGTTTGTGTTGTCTTTGTATGTGACAGGTGTGATGACTGTGTGTGATATCTGTAATGGGTGTATTAACAGTGTATGATATGCGTGTATTGCTTGTATGTGATATTTGTTCTGGGTTTATTGGCTGTGTTTGGTTATTTAATTCAGATAACACGCATTTAGGCCTATGTGTGAATGCAGGTGTAGATTTTTGCAGATTTATGTGCACAGTCAGATGCACACAGTTGTACATATACACTGTCAAATCCACCACAGGCACATAGTCACATACACAAGATCAGGCAGAACACACAGGTACAGGTAGATAAACACTCACACACACACCGTTACACTCACACTGACAATCACACATACAGTTGCAAGAAAAAGTATGTGAACCCTTTGGAATGATATGGATTTCTGCATTCACAAATTGGTCATAAAATGTGATCTGATCATCATCTAAGTCACAACAATAGACAATCACAGTCTGCTTAAACTAATAACACACAAAGAATTAAATGTTGCCATGTTTTTATTGAACACACCATGTAAACATTCACAGTGCAGGTGGAAAAAGTATGTTGCTCAGCATTAACCCTTCTGTGGATTTGGTTGCTGCTTGGCACAACTTTTCCTGTGTGGACAGTGAATGTCACTAACCACATTTTTATAAGCGGATGAATACGTGACATGTATATAGTAAATGCTGTGTGTGTGTGTGTGTGTGTGTGTGTGTGTAGTGATGTAATTTGTGTTTAGTCCCCCGTCCCTGCTTCTTACCAGGGCAGGGGGATATAGTAATCCCTGGTGGTCCGGTGGCTTGTGAAGTACTGGAGGGGGTTGGCAGGAATCTCCTTTTTGTGGCAAAATTGGTCCCATAGGAATGAATGGCGGAATGTTCAAAACTAGAGTGGGGAGTCGTTGTGAAGATTTTTCGCACAGGGCGCATAAAGGCCCAAGGCCGGCCCTGACCTTCTGCACTGGTTTTTGCACTGTGGCCCAATTTCATGGACTTAATATACGGTGTGGTGAACCACCTGGCACCCCAACTGGGTACCTGCGCCAATCACTGCTTCCTAGTATCACCAAGTACTATAAGCAGGAAGCTGTTTCTTACCTTTCTTGCAGCTCCTCCAGCTCCCATGTGTAAATCTCGTGGCCTTTAGGGCCGCACGGAGCGTAGCCATAGTAACCCGTGGCAACGCTCTGCGGCCGCGGGACTCACGAGATTTGAACTGGGGAGCTGGAGGAGCTGCAAGAAAGGTAAGAAACAGCTTCCTGCTGGCCCCCTCAGGACCGCCGGGTTTGTAATGAGCCTGGCGGCGGTCCTAGGGGGTATCATCGGCAATATCGGTATCTATATTGGCCGATACCGATATTGCCGAAAATACAGAATATCGGTGTAACAAAATCCCTTATTTACAGACCATACGAACAAGCCTGTAAGGTTATTTGGAGGATTACAGCGGGATTTCGTGAAAATAGCCATAAAAGCGAATAAACTACCGAACCACCGACCTCCCACTGAGGTCGTGTGGCGCCTATTGACCACCCTGACTGTTTCGGTTAACCACAGACTAATTGGGGAATAGCTGGTGGTCCGCGTTCGTTTACCGAACACGTGGCAGACGCCATTTTGTATTGTCGAACGCTCAGCGGTAAATGGCGAGGATTCCCTGGAACTGATTTCGGCTACTTATTTTGTCGAACACTGCTGCTACCTCCTCCCATCCTCGTTCGTACGGTGGAAAAACACACGAATGAAGGGGATACTACTTCATTCGTGCGCTGAAAGTATGCGAAAGTGACCGACCCCAGATAGCTATAGTATGGAACTTGTAGTCGGCTACAACCACACGAACGGCCGGTGAAAGTCAAACTTCAGTCGACGAACTGTGTTCGTGGGATCTGAGCGCTTTTCGCCTAGAATATGCACTCAGATCCAAGCTATCTGGGGATATGTGGAACTTAAAGTTTATGTTGTGTAAAAAGAAAGTTATATATTTTTATTCTGTTTTGCTGAAATAAGAAAAGCCATGTTTCTTTCTTCCTGGAGATAATTAAGGATCTCTTTGTTACCTTAAGTTAATTATCTCCAGGATGGAAAAGAGGGAGTGATTTATGAAAGGGGAATGCTTATGCTATAGCCACTGTGATTGGCTACTGTGATACTGTTGTCCCAGTCTTCCATCTGGTCCCCTAGGGGAGTGTCCACCAGGTGGGAGACCTGCATAAATACCGGGCGTGTAGCCCACAGTAAATCAGATCGTTTTACCCCTTCATGAAGTCTCGACTCATGTTTGGGGGATTCGGAGTTATAATCTCTTCGTTTCAGCTGGATTTTGGGAGAAGCTGCAAGGATCATCGCTGCATGAATAGAAGGATCCTTTACAATCGGCAAAACCGATAATCGGTCGATCCCTACTTACCTCTGTTAATTGTGGATGCAGTGCAGCTCCTGGAATGTGTGTTGGAGAAGCAGGGACTCCTTCCTGCTTCCCCTGCAGTAGTTATCCGTCACTTTTAGCCCTGCCCGGCATCAGTTTGGCTCCTCCCCTGTCGCACGGGAAGCGTGGCCCCGCCACAATTTTTTTTATTTATTTATTATTTTTTTTTAAATACCGGCCATATGTGAGCTGTTTTGGCCACATGGCGCCCCCTGCTCTTTGGCGCCCTGTGCTCATACAACCCTAAGGCTGGCCCTGCAGAAGGTTAACGAAGTTTGAGGAACCTTGTTGTACTGTCACAGCGCAGAATATGAGCGAAGTTTGAGAAGCCTTGTTGTGCTGTCACAGTGCAGAATATGAGCGACGATTGAGAAGCCTTTTTGTACTGTCTGTAACGGATCACCTGGCACCCCGACTGGGTACCTCTGTTGAAGGATGCTCCTAGCGCTTCCTGAGGGCTCCAAGCACTCTAGCAGACACCTCCTCGCACTGGCCGACACTCAGTCCTGGAACTCTAGAACCGAATGAGGAATTAGCTTTAGTCCTTACAAGAACTTTCCCAGTTGAATCTCCTGCAAGCTGGAACAGCAGACACAAGAGCAAATATTCTTTCCTCCAATAACAGGACGACACACAGTTTTGGAGTGTAAGCAGGAACAGCCAGATCTGTGCTTTTTATTGCTTCTTTTATACAGGTTTTTACACAATGTTACCACCCACGTGGTTTTGTAGAACAGCCAATCAAACCCGTACAATACAGTTAAACACTCCCATTCATTCCACCAAAATCCTCCCCTCTGCCTGTGATATAATTACTGAACACGATGGTTTAACGTAATTATCACAGGCAGGGAAAATAGATTTTATACAATTCTCATAACTTACAAAATATACATACTATCTCCACAAAAGTTACATATTCTTAATCAGCACACTTCAAATACAAACATACCCAAAAATCAAACAATTCCCTCCAGTGGTTAAAGTTACCTGAAAGTCCTTTTTGACCGTCTGCAAGTATGCTTTCCTGCCCAAAACAGTTACATAGATTTGGGCTGTGCGGTCGGTCAATTTCACTCAGAAAAATAACTAAGTCCCATTCGAATCGTCGAACAGGACTTTGTTTTCAGTGAAGTGTTGAAGTGGAGGAGAAGGTAAGGGTCAGCGGTGTTCGTGCAAATGGGTAGCCGATTTTTATTCCTTGTAGCACATCCACACAGAGAAAAAGGGCAATTCATAGTTGGGCAGCGGTCCCGCCACAATGAAATCCTCGATGTCACGATTCTCTGTGTCCCCACATCCCCTACTGGAATGTTTCATTGGTAAAATTCTCAGAGCTGTACCATAGACCTGTAAATAGCATTACCTAACCATGAAGCATGAGAGCCAGGCAGTAATAGTGCATGTATACTGGTGACCGTAATTCTTGTTCTTGACCGAATAGGTAGCTGATGGGGAGTTCTATATGGTGGTCCTCAGATTGAGGGAGCTCCCTTTTCTTTGGTTGCCCCAGTATACACACTGCTCCCTTCCCCCATAGTCCTTTTGCTAAGCTTAGATCATACATTGTGATACCAGGGATGTGTACGTGCCCAGCTCTCTCTTCCCACTGTCATTGTAGTCACCCATCAGTTCCGCACACTGTTTTACATGTTTAGTTACACCTTCGTGTAACACTTTGTACTGTTTAAATATTCTGCCCGTTGTTCAAAAAACCTGTAGTAGTCTTGTCTGTTTGGGTAGAAGATGAGAGATCTATTTAATTTTATCCAGTACTTGGCAGATGGTTGGGTGATATTTCGGTGGAAGCACAGGCTACTAGGCAAATCGCCGTAAGTTACCAGGCTGCTGTGGTTGCTCCTGGAGGTCCCTAGTGGCAAGGAAAAGGATTGATGCAGTAACAACTTCAGGATCTAAAGTCAGGGACCAGGCACCTTGTTCCTGTTGCAGCCATCTGCCTTGCTGCTTCCACCAGAATGCCAGGTAGTGATTCTCCACCCCAGAGAATGCGTTTGCACTACTCCAGAGTTCAGTGGCGGCGTGCTTTACATCCCTTCAGTTGACGCTTGGCATTGTACCTGATCATGTGAGGCTTATCTACTGCTTCTTGACAGTTGTGTTGATGTTTGAAAGCATCATATGATTGTTATGAATTCTATCAATTAGGGGCAATTGCAAAGAATCCTGTAAATCTAAATATACAACATGAGAACCGCAGGAAGCGCGATGGTGGAAAAACGGGTATTAAAGATAATGCAAACAATGATATCATCTTAAATTAATGACAGTAGCAATAAAGTCCTAAAAAATAAAATGTAAATGTAGGTTCCACTTAATCTTCTAGTAGAAATATTTTTCCTCTGTGATATAAAGTGAAAATGCAAAGATAGTGTGGTATGTAATATATAAAAATGCAATAGTACAATCGCCACTTATGGTAATCACAGATGGATAATGCAGTCAGGGACGGACTGACCAGTCTGGCAGATCGGTCATGGACCGAGGGCCTGAGGCAGTCAGGGGCCCGGCACCATGGCCATACTCTGGCTGAGGAGATCAGAGATCTCTGTAGCTAGCCCCCACTCCCTCCCTCACCCCTTCACCCGTTTTCTCTTCTCTCAGGGAGACCTGGCATCCAGTTCTTGCTGTCAGGTTTACTCCCCCTTTGCGGTTCTGTTTGTGAGGAGGAAGAGGTGGGGTTGGGAAGTGACCACTTCCTGCCCTCTGCTGAAGAGAAGAAGCTGTAGCAGCCTGGAAGTTTTTTTACATCCTCACCTCAGCCCCCCTCTATCCATCTCAGCACCCCTCCTCTGCTCCCACCTCCAGCCCCCTCTGCTCCCACCTCAACCCCAACGGTACCCACTTCAGCTCCTCCACACACCACATCTCTCCTTGCACCCACCTCAGCCACCATTCCTCCCTGCACTTACCCTAGGATCTTTTTTTTTTTTAGTATGTATCTGTGTCCTTTTATATCAGTGTGTGTATTCCTGTGGGCGAGATTTGAAGGCAGGCCCCCGGGGGCCCAGACCCTGAGCTGAGTTAAGGGCCCTAAAATTTCTGGTGGCGGCCCTGCCTATTTCCCCCCCCACGCACCCACTACAGCCACTATACTACTTAAACAAAGTAAAGCATCTATTATTCAAACATGAACACATTACAGCCCCAGTAACCACCACATGCCTACTACAGACTCGATCCCACACACATTGCAACACAACCAGCCCTGTCCACTCACTGCACTGCAAATAGCCCCATTAACACACACACAAAAACCCACAAGGAGCCTCACTGTATAGACACAATCCCACAAGCAGCATCCCCCACACATACAAAACCACATGCAGCCTCCTTACACATACACATCACTAACCGCATACCCACCATTGCAATACTACATACCGCTTCCACACACACAATTATTACAATCACTTATATAGCGCCAACATATTCTGCAGCGCTGTACAATAGGTAAAACAAGAGAAACGATTAATCCAAAACAACACTTTGACTATCACTAGCATCCCCACACACGCAACCCCACATGTGGCTACTTGTATGGTTGCACATGTGGGAACACTGCTTGTGATGTCCTCAGCAAAGTCAGTGGAGGTGTGTAATTAAATTTTGCTTTATTACTTTATTTTAATTGCTGGGGAGGCACGCCAGCAAGGGTTACTCCATCTAAAAACAGTGTTTATTAAAATACTGTTTTTGGGTGGATTAACCACTTAAAAGTAAATCTGCCCATTGTTGGGGGCTCGACGGGTGTGGGAGTCAGGGCTGTGTGGCTCTCACACAGCCATTCTGTGTGCTGGGCTGCCTACACATAATATATGTGTGAAAGCAGAAGAAGAGTAGTAGGGGGCCAATAAACCTTGTATGAGGACCAGGAAGGGGGCCTTGATCACCTACTGCCCTCTGGCTGTGAGTGATCAGTCCGCCCCTGAATGCAGTCAGAGGAACACAATCACAAAAGAGAGAATCTGATTGTGTAGTGTCCCAGGCTGACATGAAAAGATGTAAAATAACCACCAACTTATATAGAGCATCTTGTAAGCGCAAGTAATTCAGCATGCAGAGGTATAATCTCCACTTCAGGATGTGTAATATATGGGTATATTCTGTGACAGCAGTACCATTCAGGACAGAATTGTTTCATGAGCAGGTATTTTGGGGGTTTTTGTTTTTTAGGTGAGGTAATTTAATTTTTTCATTGTTTACACTATTTGTATTTGTTTACTATACTGGCAAAAAAATCTGGATGCTAGGGATCATCATTTCTGGGTTCCTGTGGGCTCAACTTTGGTGGGGCTATTAACCTCCTACACCTAACAATCTGAGGATCTTATTGCTCCAAAGTCTGTTTAATTTTGGAATATATAGTATGCATTTTCTATTGTGTCTTGTAAGTCCTGCACACCTCCCATGATGTAATTAATCCAAATAATATACTGGTGCTCCAGGCTCGGGGGATGGCAAACCCCCTTAATACTTCCAAATGCAGACATAGTCCAGGTATACACACTCTGTATTGAAAGAAGCCCAACATGACAATATTTCGACCGATCTATTAACAGACTTTCTCTAATGACTTGAGACAGGCAATCCATATTGTCCGAAATGTTGTCCTGTTCTGCTAGTTTCAATAAACAGTCTGCAGTATGATGGAATCTGCGTGTCTGTACTCTCTCTGCATTTGGTTGTATGGTACTGCTGTCACAGAGGATAACCATGAATTAACTATGACCGTTTGTATACTGATGACATGGCTTTGCTTGTGTGGTGTGTGGTTTTTTTTTTAATTTTTTTATTATGCTTTGTGATTGTCAACTACTTTGATGGCATAATACATCATTAACGGAAAGATGATGTCCCAGTTAAAGTCTGTATTTTATATTTCCCTTAACTCTCAGTAACTTTATTTCAGATGGCTCCATTGGCAGCGGTAATCCTGAAAACCATATAAAGTACAGACGTACACTAACCAAGCGATTGAAGAAACCTGTTACAATAAAATTCAAAGACTCCATCTCACAAGATCTAGGAACTTCTACACAGAAGATAAACACTGGAGAAAAATCATTCTCCTGTTCAGAATGTGGGGAATGTTTTCGGAAGTATTCAGATCTTGTCAGACATCAAAAAACTCATACTGGAGAAAAGGTTTTCTCATGTTCTGAATGTGGGAAATGTTTTGCTCACATTTCACTGCTTGTTGCACATGAGAGAACTCACACAGGAGATAAACCATTTTCGTGTTCTGAGTGTGGGAAATGTTTTTCCCTCAAATCATATCTTATTGTACATCAGAGAACTCACACAGGAGAGAAACTTTTTTCATGTTATGAATGCGGGAAACTGTTTTCATACCACTCCCACCTTGTTAAACATCAGAGATCTCATACAGGAGAGAAGCCTTTCTCATGTACTGAATGTGGGAAATGTTTTAGCCAGCACTCAGATCTTGTTCGGCATCAGAGAACTCACACTAGATCAAAGCCTTACTCATGTACTGAATGTGGGAAATGTTTTATACACCACTCACTGCTTGTAACACATCTGCGATCTCACACAGGAGAGAAACCGTTCTCATGCTCTGAATGTGGGAAATGTTTCACCAAGAACTTATATCTTATTGCTCATCAGAGAACTCATACAGGAGAGAAACCTTTCTCGTGTTCTGAATGTGGAAAATGTTTTACCCACAACTCGTATCTTATTGCACATCAGAGAAATCACATGGAAGAAAAGCCTTTTTCATGCTCTGAATGTGAGAAATGTTTTACACATCATTCTCACCTTGTTAAACACCAGAGAACTCATACAGGTGAGAAACATTTTTCATGTAGTGAATGTGGAAAATGTTTTGGCCAGCACTCAGACCTTGTTCGTCATCAGATAACTCACACAGGCGAAAAACCCTTCTCATGTTCTGAATGTGGGAAATTTTTTAGCTGCAAATCGAATCTTATTAGACATCAGAGAACTCACACAGGAGAGAAACCGTATTCATGTTCTGAATGTGGGAAATGTTTTAGCCAGCCCTCAAGTCTTGTTAAACATCAAAAAATTCACACTGGAGAGAAACCTTTCTTATGTTCTGAATGTGGGAAATGTTTTAGATTTAAATCTGATCTGGTTGCTCATCTTAGAACTCACACAGGAGAGAAGCCTTATTCATGTTCTGAATGTGGGAAAGGTTTTAGCCGGCATATAGATCTTATTTCACATCAGAGAACCCACATAAAGTCTAACACCCTATTATGATGACTTGAACTGTGCTGAATTGTAACAACCATATTATTATTATTATTCTAAAGATAGAGTGTGTGTGTGTGTGTGTATATATAGTGCAATGGAATCTGTTGACACTATATAAATGGCAATAATATATGTACTAAATACATTATGTGCTGTGTGTGTGTTTTTATTATTATTTATATAGCGCCATCAGATTCCGTGTGTGTATGTGTATCCTGAGGAAGACCCGAACGGGTCGAAATGTTGATCAAACAACCTGTAAACCTTTAATGGATTAAAGACCGTTAATATTCTTAAAAAGACCGAAGAGTGCATCTTTCTTCAATATGTGTGTGTGTGTGTGTGTGTGTGTGTGTATATATATGTATATATATATATATACACACACAGAAAAGAAGACGAGTGCCCTCTGAGGTCTATTGAAAGTATAAACTTGATGCTTTTATTCAGCACAATTTGAACATCGTTTTCAGTCCCAAATGACTTTTATCAGGACCGTTGGGACTGAAAACATCTGTTCAAATTGTGCTGAATAAAAGCATCAACTTTATACTTTCAGTAGACCTCAGAGTGCATTCGTCTTCATTTCTGTATAATAGCTGGCGTTGGCACACTAAAGACCAGGGAACTTGAGTGCTGGGAGTGTGTGTGTGTGTGTGTGTGTGTGTGTGTGTGTGTGTGTGTGTGTGTGTGTGTGTACACACAATACTGCATGTGGTATTACATGCGAACAATTTGTTTTCATTATTTTATATACTTCCTGCAAAGTGTAAAAATAAAATCACATTAATATTAAACTGTGTTTATAGCACAAGGTAATGGTTATTGCTGTTATTTATGCAAAATGATGCAAGTTTTACAAGTGGTGTTTAAGCTTACTCCTTATAGCCAAATGTAGACTATAAGATGTACATCTCTATTCGGGTGTGCGTCTCACAACAGTAACACAGTCTCTAGGTTACTACAATCACTTGATGCAAAGAAGGCATGAAATCAAAGGTATGGGAAATCTATATACTATTAAAGGACCACTCTAGGCACCCAGACCACTTCAGCTTAATGAAGTGGTCTGGGTGCCAGGTCCAGCTATGGTTAACCCATTGTTTTATAAACATAGCAGTTTCAGAGAAACTGCTATGTTTATGAATGGGTTAAGCCTTCCCCCAATTCCTCTAGTGGCTGTCTCATTGACAGCCGCTAGAGGCGCTTGCGTGCTTCTCACTGTGAAAATCACAGTGAGAGCACGCAAGCGTCCATAGGAAAGCATTGATAATGCTTTCCTATGTGACCGGCTGAATGCGCGCACAGCTGTTGCCGCGCGTGCGCATTCAGCCACATGGGAGGAACGGAGGAGGAGAACTCCCCGCCCAGCGCTGGAAAAAGGTAAGTTTTAACCCCTTTCCCCCTTCCAGAGCCTGGCGGGAGGGGGACCCTGAGGGTGGGGGGCACCCTCAGGGCACTATAGTGCCAGGAAAACGAGTATGTTTTCCTGGCACTATAGTGGTCCTTTAATAATTTGTACAAGTATATAATTTTATGCGTATCTATGCTGCAGTCAAAAGTGTGGATAATAAATACAGAAAGAAAAAGAATTGGGGTGGAACAGCGCAACAGTACTAATCACAGGGGTGGATGGAGCTGCATACCTGAGGGGAAGGGCAACCCTCAAACCCTTCTACAAATCTGGGAGAACATGAAACGGCAAATACAGGGTAGAACAATGAGAGATAATACACACAGAAAGAAGGAAGTACAAAAAAAGTCTCTGAAAAGGCAATGTGGACCTTAGATAAGTATTCTTTGGTTCTTGATTTGGGTCCTCAGTAGTTAATATGAAAAACAAAAACAGAAACAGGAAGGGACCAATAGTGCAAAACCGTTAAGAAATGGTGTCACGAACAGCATAGAAATAGAGAAGTGCCAACTCACAATATACAGAGCTATGTCTAGCTCTAGGTAAAATGGCATACAGTGGTATTTGAAACTCCCTACATGTAGGATAAAGCTGGACAATAGGACGTGTTTCTTCAATACTTCTTGCAGCGTCTCCGATACATGTCAGCATATAAAATAAGGGAAAAACCCAATGGTGCAATAACGTATGTCACCTACAACTACAAACACTGAGGTCCTAAGAGTGCCAACTTACAATTGAGAGAGCTATCACCAGCTCTGAGTAAAACAGCACACAGTGGTATTTAAACTCCCCACATGTAGGATATCCTTCTAGCGATATTTGCAACGCAGGACTTATGAAAGAAAAAAGCACAAAAGAGGGCCCATTGTTTTCTTAGTAGATAAAATAGAAGAAAAAGGTAAAACGAAACGTACTTACAGTGTATAGAGCAGCCACACTGCTCTATGAACCAGGCGTGAATGGAATAATCCCCACCTAGGATTTCTTTTGTAGTATTGGATCTGATCTGTTGGCTGATTACAGGCTGGAGCTGAACTTGCTGCCTGATAGTGTTCACTATCGTACACTGTACTCATGCGTGTCCTTGTGTCCTGTTAGTATCTCCCAGAGCGGGAGATGGCTATCTGTTCCCCAGCCACCTCCTGCATGAGATTGTGTTGTGTTAGATGGAGACCCCCTGTGGGGGTCTGTGCATAAAAATCTGTGTGCCCAAATAAACATTGTCAAAGATTGTATCCTGGAACTGTGTCCCATGCAGTTACTGGGAAAATGGGTCTGACCTATTCTAACCAGAGGGGATAACTAGCCAGGTTACCCAGGTCCCGCTACAACTGGTGGCAAGCGGTGGGATCCCATGTCCCTGCCAACAGACCCATGGACTACAGTACTCTAAAGTGACCTACACTGCAAGACTTGTGTGAAGCCAGAGGGATAACGCCTGGCGGTCGTAACATGGCCTAATTGACTGCTGTGCTCATGGATGACGACCAGGTGACTTGCGTGCCAAAAACCGGATGGGTGAAGTCACACTGTACCATAAAAGGAAATTACAGAACTAAGCATATTTCAATGGTTTTATATATATATATATATATATATATATATATATATATATATATATATATATATAAAAAAACATTAGGACATCAGACGGGGGGTTGAGGGTAAAGCTGCAATCATCTCCTCAGAAACCACAGAATGTCACAAGTTATGATTTTATGCTACTTGTGCTTATTTGTCAGACAGTCGAAACTAGAATAAAAGTTAAAAAGCATAACATGAACATATAAACAGAGTGGACATCCGGTCATCTTAGTAGATTGAGCCTTGGGTCAAGGTACCTATCATTATAATTCCATTACACTACTGTACAATGCCTTCAAAGAGTTCAAGGAAGCAGAAGAAGGCATCGATGACTTCTTACAAGATTTTGAGCGACAGTGCCTACTCCAAGATGTGGACTCCACCGACTGGGTCACCATCCTGGCCAGTAAATTAGTGGGGAAGGCAGCGGATGCCTACCGGGCTGTACCAGAAGACCAGATCAGGGACTATCCCTTTATCAAATAGATTCTTCTGGCCAGGTATGCTGTCACCCCCGAGCAATACCGCAAAAGTTCAGGGAGACCCAGAAAGGGGGGGAAGGACTTCCATGCAGAGTGGACACGCCCCATCACAAGGGCCAGCCAGAACTGTCTCAACTCCCATCAAGCCAAGTCCCCGGAGATCACCCAGCTCGTCATGCTGGAGCATTTGTTCAATGGGCTTCCCAAGACATACGAGAATGGGTGAGAGACCGACGGCCCCAGAACCTCACCGAGGCAGCTCGACGGGCCGATGAATATATTGACTATTAACACCCGGCGGCCCCTGTGTCCTACAGACCAACCATCCGACCGCTGGTCCAGCCCCACCCAGTTGCCACAGCTACCATTTGTGGATACCCAGTCCGAGCATCCCCACAGTGCATCTATCCTCTGGGCACCATTCCAAACCCTACACCCGGGCCGCCCATACCCACTACCTAAACCCCAAGCTCTGGGAACCTGACCCTGGGATGCCCCCCTGAATTTGAGAGGAAGGTAGCCTCCGACCCGACCCAAAAGGTTACAGGGATAAAGCCAGCACAGGGGAGGTAGGGAGAGAGGGGGAGCAGTACATCTGGGAAGGAGGGCGGTTATACCGCATAGCAGTGAGGAAGGAACCAGCTACAGCCCCTACTACCACCAAGCAGCTGGTGGCACCAGAGAAGGATCGGTATGAGCTGCTGAAGCTAGTGCACAATATCTCCTTGACAGGGCATTTGGGCATGAGCCGGACAGCGTCTTGGCTCCCCCAAAGCTTCTTCTGGCCAGGCATCTACCAGGATCTGAGGCAGTACTGCCAGACTTGCGATGTCTGCCAGAGTGGGGAAGCAGGGGGGGACAGGACCGGCACAGGGCCCCCCTCCATCCCTTACCTATTATTGAAGATAAGGTAAAACCTTTTTCCCCAAGCTGTGTAATTTGACTCATAACTCTGGTTACTTTCTATCCACCAATAAGAGTGTTTTTTTTTCTTTGAAAGTTTCAAAGATCCGTTCGGCAGAGTAGCTGTCGACATCATAGGTCCTCCAGCCAAGCCTAGTCCCTCTGGGAAGAAGTACATTCCGACCATCGTGGCTGTCACCCTGAGCGAGTTGGGTTTTCCCCGGGAGATTCTCTTAGACCAGTGCACCCAGTTTACCTCCGAAATGACCCACCAACTGTGGAGGTTGTGCGGCATTACACCAATTTTGAGCTCCACTTACCACCCTCAGACCAATGGACTGTGTGAGCACTTCAACGGTACATTGAAGCAAATGCTCTGTACCTTTGCAGTGACTCACAAGGATTGGGAGAGATTTCTCCTGTTAGCTTATCTGGAGGTGCTGCATAAATCGACTGGGTTCTTCCCGTTCTAACTAATGTTCTGGCGGAGAGTGAGGGGACCCTTAGATCTAGTGCAGGAGCAGTAGGAGGGAGCCGGGGAACAGGAAGGGACCCCCATCGTTCCCTATGTGCTGGAGTTTAGGGACCGGCTGGAGGAACTCACCAATCTGGTGCGAGGGAACCTGCAGGCAGCCCAGAGGCGCCAGTGCACATGGTACAACTGGGGGGCGCCAGGGGCCGTAGCTTTCAAGTCGGACAGAAGGTTTTGGTGCTGAAACCCATCCAACATGACAGGCTATAAACTGCCTGTCAGGTCCCATACCGGGTAGTGGAACAGAAAGAGGACACTACCTATGTGATCAGCCCAAGCTCAGGTACCGGAGTCCGACACCTGTTGCATGTACACATGCTCAAGCCCTACCACAAGCGGACAGAGGATGTCGCCGCTGTTTGCACGCCGGCCTCGGAAGATTATGGCAATCTTCCAATGTCTGACCTCCTAGAGCAGTGATAGCGAACCTTTTTGAGCCCGAGTGCCCAAACCGCAATACATGCCAACTTTTTTTCTCCTTAAAGTGCCAACACGGCAATTAAACCCAAATACTGAGGTTTAAGTTTAGAAAAAACAACTCGTACTGTTGTCCGAACTAATAACTTTTGTTTTAAAAGAACACAGAGAGTTCAATGATACAAATTTTAAATAATGATATAAATAGATAAAATTAAGCTTATATTTATTAGTATCTCCAACAAATGCAATACATACACACACAGACTGCTGAATACACACACACACACAAGACTGCTGAATACAGAGACTGATGAATAAACACACACAGTCTGCTGAGTACACACACACACACAGACTGCTGAGTACACACACACAGACTGCTGAGTACACACACACAGTCTGCTGAGTACACACACACAGACTGCTGAGTACACACACACAGTCTGCTGAATACACACACACAGTCTGCTGAATACACACACAGACTGCTGAGTACACACACACACAGACTGCTGAGTACACACACACAGACTGCTGAGTACACACACACAGTCCGCTGAGTACACGCAAACACACACAGACTGCTGAATACAAGCACACACACACAGTCCGCTGAGTACACGCAAACACACACAGACTGCTGAATACACGCACACACACACACACACACACACACACTGCTGAATACACACATACTGCATTGAGGTGGGGGGTGGTGTGTGTGTGGGGGGGTGCTGTGTGTGTGTGTGTTGTATGTGTAAGGGTGCTGCGGGGGGTAGGGGTACTGTGTGTAGGGGGTAGGGGTACTGCTGGGGGGTAGGGGTACTGCTGGGGGTAGGAGTACTGCTGGGGCCTGCTTGCAGGGTAGGGTGCAACTGGTGTGTGGGTGCTAGGGTACCGCTGGGGGGAGGGAATGTGTGGGGGTAGGGTACCGGGGGCAGGGGTACCTGTGGGGTGCAGGAGCACTGCAGTAGGGTACTGCTGTGGGGGGTAGGGATGCCTGCCGGGGGGTAGGATAC